CCACACCTGTGTGTGTCTGTCCACACCTCTGTGTGTCTGTCCACACCTCTGTGTGTGTCTGTGCACATCTGTGTGTGTGTGTGAACATGTGCGTGTGTCTGTGCACACCTGTGTGTGTGTGCACACCTGTGTGTCTGTCCACACCTGTGTGTGTCTGTGCACATCTGTGTGTGTGTCTCTGCACACCTGTGTGTGTGTATGAACACGTGTGTGTGTCTGTGCACACCTGTGTGTGTCTGTCCACACCTGTGTGTGTCTGTCCACACCTGTGTGTGTGTCTGTGCACACCTGTGTGGGTGTCTGTGCACACCTGTGTGTGTCTGTGCACACCTGTGTGTGTGTGCAGGTCTCTGCACACCTGTGTGTGTGTGTGTGAACACGTGTGCAGAGGTCCCTGGGTGCAGGGTGCGTGTGCTCACCACTTGTGTGCGTGCTCACCTGTGCTGTGAGCACGTGGATGTGCACAGACAGGGCAAGGTGGGGCCATCCCACAGCTCCCCACCCAGGCCCAGGGTCCCAACCCAGCTCAGGGACCCTCAGGGACCGCCACCTGCCACCCCTGTCCCCAACGCCAGCCAGCAGTGCAGGGCCAGGTGTCCCCTCAGGTTCTGGGTGCCCCCTCAGGGTTCTGGGAGTCCCCAGGGTGGTGGGTGTCCCCTCAGGATGTTCCCAGGGTTCTGGGTGTCCCCTCATCAGGGTGGTGGGTGTCCCCAGGGTGGTGGGTGTCCCTGCCCCCCCTGCCCCCTCACCGTGTCTCACCAGGGAGGTGCCGCCGGTGTCGCGGTGCAGCCGCGGGCGCGTCGGGCTCTCACAGCTCTGCTCTGCTCAGGGAGTGGGGACACAGGCTCTGCTCCCCCAGATCTGCCCCCATTCCTGTCCCCACTGTCCCTGCTGTCTCCAAGGCCTCACTCACCGGACAGGGCAGAGCCAAACGCATCCTCCCCTCGCCCCGTCCTTTCCCGTCTCCCTCCCTCCACCTCAGCCAGCACCATGCTGTGCCCCTCTCCCTGGCATCCCTTTTCCAACACCAACCCCTCTCCCAGCCTGACCACCAACGGGATCCTTCCCCTCTGTCCTTTTATACCGTCTTTGTTCATATGACAAGCACGTGGAAAACCAAAGCAGAGCTTGGAAAAAAGCTCCTTAAGATGCTTTAATTCAGTTTCCTGGATCCCATGACTGAGCTCGGCCTCTGAACGAGGTCTCATGACTGTGGCACGCAGGCCCTGGCCATCAAAAGCCTCATTTATGCCCCAAATGAGACTTAAACCCCTCTTGGCCCGATATCCCCCATGCCCAGTCTGGGCCCCTAGGCCTCCCTGGCTGGGGGCTTCAAACCAGCCAGAGGAACACCTGCCCTGCCCCTGCTCTGCTCTAGCTGCAGGAGGGACTTTGGGAACACTCAAGGCCTTGGCTTTGCCTGTCCCCTCCAGGGAAAGGACAGTGCACATTCCCCCTCCAGGTACCAAAACCATCCAGCCCTGTCCCCCACCCTGTCCCTTCCTTCACCCCAAACTGCAGCACCAGTGGAGGGGACAGAAGTGCCATCCCAAGGGGGACAGAAGTGCTGTCCCAGTGGCACATGGCCCAGTCTGGCCCCAGATGGGAGTTCCTGTGCCCAGGACCCCCAGCCCACGCCCTCTGAGGTCCCTGCAGCTCTTGCATGGGTGAGTGCTCCTCTGTCCCTCCTCGCTCCAGCTGCTGAGTGAGGATGGAGCCTCCATCCTGGGCCAGGAGCAGTGACAGATCCAGACCCAAAGCCCCAATCCCTGAGCCCAGTCAGGGCTCCCAGCCATGGAGGTAGCACCCAGCAATGTCCATCTCCATGCATTCCCACATTCCTGACCTGGCTCTAGACTTTGGGGTTCAGGCTGAACTTTACTGACCCTTTGCCTTTGTTTTAAACTGAGACAAAGGAAATACAACCTCGAGCCACCTCAATATGCCCCCAAACCCAGCGAGCTCTGAGCCATCCTGCTTGTGAGACAGAGCTGACCCAAAGCATCTGCAGCTCAACAGGAAACAGGCAGCAGTAAGAGGATAAAAATACCCTTGGTGCACACAGAATGTCTCTGTGCCAGGATTAGGGAGCCCTGGGACAGCGGGGCCAGAGGGAGCTGGGCTGGGTGGCTTTGGCTTCCCACACACATGTGAGCCCAAGGCTCCCAAACCACCTGGCCACTGCAGGCAGAGGGATGGGGAAGGAAGGACTGGGGGGATGTGCAGGGAGAAGCCAGACATCCCAGCTCCTGCACCCCAAAATCCCCCTGGATACGAATGAGGGCCCCCCCAAAGCCATCCACATCCTCTTCCAGCTCCTGCACAGCCCCAGCACCAAGGAAGGGTCATCCCCCCTCCTCTGGAACACCCTGCTCTGGTCCTGGGGGAAACGAGGGATGTGTGGGGAGCAGGGGGTCCCATGCCCCCCACCTCACCCTCCCCCCAGCTCCCAGCCCCAAACAATAGGAGCATTGGAGTGCTCAGAGTGTGGGGGTGCAGCGAGGCCCCCCCGCCTGGCCCCTGAGCCCCTAAGGAGATTAAATCCCTCCTCACATGAGCCCGGCGGGCCCCAGGGCCTCGTGTTGGGGAGGGGACACAGGGAGGACAGGGACAGGGAGGGGAAGGGCAGAGCAGTGCTTTGCTGTTTGGGTTGGGGCCAGGGATGTCCCAGGGGCAGGAAAACACACAAACAGCTCTTCCCAGGGGTGTAAGAGCAGGGGCTGAACCAAAAATCACCAACCTGAGCCTCTCCCTTTCCCTGGGGCAAATTTTCCGTGTGCTGGAGGACTCCGTGGGACAGCCCTGCAGCTGCCCCCATGGCCAGTGGTGCTGAATCACACAGCTCCGGTCAGAACTGGCCATGGAGCAGGTCAAAAATAAGGCTTGAGACCATTCCATGTACCCCAGGACCACTCTCTGTCCCTTGCTCTGCTGGCCCTGGGACAGAGCAGGCCCTGGGGATGTCTCCCTTCCCCTGTGGCACACCTGTCCCCTCCCCCAGCTCCTGGAAGGCTGAGACCTTCCTGCACCTCTGCATCCGTGATCCCAGAGGATCCCCTAATGACACGGAAAGGGCAAGGGGTTCCTGTTGTCCCAAGTCCCAGTGGGCACACAGAGCTTTGCAGCGTGGGCCCAGGGGCCAAGGGCACCTTCCCTGCTCCCGCTGGCACCCTGGGGCTGCCCAGTCCCCAGAGGAGGGTGACAAACACTGGGGATCTGGCCAAGGGCAATCCAGGGAAGGTGCTGAACAGGGGGAAGGGCTGAACACCCTGGGGCTGGGTCAGGGGCAGGAGCCCCCAGGGGTACACAGGGAAAGGGCACACACGGGTGAAACGTTAAACCTCTGCTCTTTATTCGCTGCCTGGTTCCCTCACCCCGTTCCCCAGGCAAGTGGCCCGGAGGTTTTCCAGGGGTGACCCAAACACCAGGAGTGCTCTGGGAAGGCTGAGCAGCGCCAGACTGGAGGAGGTGTGGGGCAGAGGGCACCTCCTCCGTGCATCCCCATAGTCCCCGTGGGGACACGGCTCTGCCCCAGCCGCGGGGTGAACTCCGGGCACCACCAGCGCTGGTCCCGGGAAAGCTCCGTGGAGAGCAGGAACTGCCACCTCCTCTGTCCCACCCACGGGGACACCGGGGAGGGGGCGGGGCCCCAGCCCCTCTCCAACTCGCCTTATTGCTATGGTCAGAGCAGCAGAGCGGCCGGGAGGGACTCGGGACTTGGCCGGTTTGGGAGAGGAGAGGAGAACATGTCTGAAGCCAAGGATCCACCATCGGAGGGTGGGCTCATGTCTCTGGGAAGGGGGAAAGAGGGAGCTGCCGTCTCTGGCCAGCCAGGCCGGTGGTGCCAGAAGGGAGCAGAGCTGTGCTCATGTCCGAGAGCAAACACTGTCCATTCCAGGGCCTCCCACCCTCTCCTGAGCCTGGAGCTGAGGCTGAGCAAACCTGTTACAGCTCCAGCAGCAGGGACTAGGGAGAGCTACTGGGAGAACAGGAGGAACAAGCAGAACCCCCTGCCTGTCCCCCTGGCTAGTTGCGTTGACTGGCCAGCTCCTGGGAGATGAATTTCCGAAGGCGCTCGAGGTACTGGCTGTAGAGTTCAATGTCATTGTGCCCGGCCCCGTCCACCCACAGCGGCTCCACAGCCTTGGGGCAGCGCTCGAAGAGCGCCAGGCCGTGGGAGAAGTCGATGACTTCATCCTCCGTACCGTGGATGATGAGGACAGGAGAGGTGATTTTGGAGATCTTCTCGATGCTGCCAAAAGGATGGATGGGGAAGAAAGGAGAGAGGGGATAAGCACAGGGAATGAGACATTTCCACTTCTCCTGCCCCCAAAACATCCCCTGGGAGAGGGACCAGGAAGCACACTTTGATCATGGCAGAGCACAGGACAGGGAGGGACACAGAGTTTCTGCCAAGGAAAAGATCTGCCCCAGTGTGACAGACAGGGAGCAGACAGCAGTGACAACATCCCCATGGGACCTCAGCAGGGCTGATGGGAACTGCTGCAGGACAGCCCTTCCTTGTTGGGATCAGCCCTGCTGGGCTCCAAGGAAGGGAAGCACGGCTGGTCCCAGCCTGGTCCCGAAGGCCACGCGAGGCCATCGGGATGCAGAGTGTGGGCTGGTGGCTCCCAGCCACAGCTTCCGGCTCAGGGACTGTCCCCTGGGCCCCACTGGTCCAGCTGCAAGGGAGAGGCAAAGGAAGAACTCATCCTCTCAGCCATCTCCTGCCATCTGAAGAGCAGGAAAATCCCTAAGGAATTACTCCAGGGGGACAGAGGGGTACCGGGGACATCCAGGGCTGGTGACACTGTCCAAAGGGCCAGTGGCACACCCCCAAAACTGGTGGGCAAAGTCACTGGGAGGGTGGCTAGGAGGTGATGCCACTGAGGGTACGCTTGTGGCACAGCCCTCAGGAGAGGGCACGGTGACCCCAGGGAGGGCTACAACTCCCAGAGGGCACCAAACACAGAGCAAGACGATGCCGAAGGTGATGTTTAAACCTATCACAAAAAATGTCACGTGTCCCCTGGCTGTGACCAGAGCTGCTCTGGGCACTGCCCCTCCAAACCCCCCATGCCCCATGCCCCAGGCACTCACTTGGGGAAGGCATCGAACCAATAGGTCTTCTTGGTGTCGGGGAAGGCGACGCGCATGCCGGAGGTGAGCGGGGAGTGCAGCACGATGGCCGCGCACTCGTAGCGGGAGGCCAGGTCAACCGTGGGCACTGTGCCGATGCTCTGTCCATACAAAATGATGTTCTCCGGGCTGATCCCGTACCTGGCACAGGACAGGGCAGGTCAGTGTCCACGCACATCGCCAGGAGATACAGCTCAGGTCACTCACTCTGCTCTGGTCACTGCATCCACAAGGCTCTGGGGTCTGTCCTCCTGACCTTCCCCCAGCTCCTCATGGCTGGGCCCCAGGCAGTTCCCTGCAGTCCCAAAGGACCAGGGAGCAGCCAGCACTGAGCTGCCAGGTGAGTTCTGGGGGAGGTCAAGGCTTTCCCTCACCAGTCAGGGTTATAGGGTGCTCACAGACCCTGGACTCCAGCTGTGTGGGGCAGCCCCAGCTCCAGGTCACACTGTGAGCTAGGCCTGAGGAAGAGGAGGCAAAGCCTGGCATGGGGCTGCAGCCCAAACCTGGCAGGGGAACCAGAGCTGAGCCTGGCACAATGAGACAGGAAGCACAGCTTGTGCCAAGGTCATGCCCTGCAGCATCCCTGCCCCTTGGATTCTCCTGCTCCTCCCTCTACAGTTCTCCAACCACCCCTTCCTGTCTCAAGTGGCCCAGGGTTTCCCTTCTGGGAGATTTCCTGTTTTCCAGGCTGCTGGAGCACTGGGTTTTCCTGGAGGCAGCAGGGCTGTGCTCCCTGCCCCAGCTCCCCGCTCACCGTGTGCGCAGCGCCTGCCACGCGGCGTCGATGTCAGAGTAGAGGTTCCGCTCCGAGGGCTTGCCCGTGCTCACGCCGTAGCCCGAGTAGTCGTAGGAGAAGATATTGCAGTTGATGCGGGTGCCCAGCCCAATGTAGAAGCTGCTCATCTGCCCCAGGTCCACGGCGTTGCCATGGGAGAAGAGCACCGTGTACCTGGGGCACGGGTACGGAACGTTAACCCCGGGCTTGCTGCCGTGCCAGAGCTCAGGCATCAGATATCAGGATATCCCCAGACATCTGCCTCAGAGACCAACAACCAAACCCCGGGACACGAAGGGCCAACACCCCTCTGGCCACCAAGGAAGGTCCTCATGACACCCCCAGGGACACCCAGACCCTTCTGCTGCCAGAGCCAGGGGCTCACTCCCAGCAGGAACAGGCAGCTTGAAGGCAGGATGATGATTCTGTTCAAGTTTTTAAGTCTATTTTTGGTAAAAAGCTCAGGATTTGGGGCCGTTTGCCCAATGGGGATTTCAAGTTAGAATTCTGACAGCGGGTTTTTTCTCTCCTGAGCCTGGCAAGACACCAGATGCTAAGGGAGAAGTGAATTGTGGGAGTGACAAGGCACAAGAAATTTCTACCATAAGGGGAAAAACAATGTTAATCATAAAAATTAACACTAATAGCAAATTGATGGGAGCTTGGCTCCCTTCTGCCAAAGGGAAGGAGCAGCACTCCCTGCTGAGCCCCTGCTGGGGACTCAGCAAGTCCAAGGGGTCTGTGGCCAGGCTGAGCCTCCAGTCCTGGCCTGGATGCCCAGGGAGCCTCAGCTGGAAGTCAGTGACAGGATGAGCTGCAGGACAGCCAGCAGCACCTGATATCCCATGATTTGGGAGGTTTGGTTCCCCCCAGCCCTGGTTCTCCCCTCCAGCCCTGCAGCCTGTGATGCTGAGGACCTGTTGTTTCTGGGAGGATATAGGAAAGGGGTCAGCTGGGGTGAGCTGGCCTTCTGCTCCACCTGAAACCCCAAACTGTGCCACTGCTCAGGGAGCAGCTGCAAGTCCCCTCTTGTCTCCTCCTGCCCAGGCACTAGCAGCAGAAGGTCATCTCCATCTCACACTCCAGGGTGCCTCTCTCCGGTTTCCCAGTTCAGACACACAGGAGTGACCAAACCCTTCCTGGCTTTCACTCCCATCACTCGTTTCCTTGAGGAATCAAATGTCCCTGTGAATCTGACTAAACCAGGCTCTCCTGGCTGGTACAGGCAGCTGTCCATCCCCATGGTCACCGCAGGGCTGGGGATGGGAGAAGCAGCTGATGCAGCCACCCCAGCTCTCCCTGAGAAACAAGCTCTGTGCAAAGAACCGGAGTGTTGCATCACTGCCGTGACACTGGGGGATTGTGAGACAGCCTGGGGAATCCCCGCACCCCTGCAGCCTCTGGCTTTGCCTCTGCTCCTGCTTTAACCCCACTCCCAGTGTGGCCACAAGCCAGACCGGTCCTGGGAACCCAGCTGGCCCGTCCCACCGGATGCCTGCAAAGCCCCGCGGCAGGGCCAGCTCCTCCGGCGATGCTGAGCAGAGGGGACAGGAGCCCCCAGCACGGCCCAGCCCAGCAGAGCCCCAGCTGGCACACCCACGGCTGACTCACCTGGCGCCGGGCACGCAGCGGACGTACATGCAGCCGACGCGGTTCCCCCGGCTGCTCTTGGTGACGAACACCTCGATGTTGTCCAGCTCCCGCTGGGAGTACTGGAAATCCGCCCGGTCCTTCAAGTGCAGCTTCCAGCGGCCCGCAGCGCCTCGCAGGGAGCCCGTGCTGCCCACGGGCTCGGGCTCGGGCACCATGGCGTAGGTGGGCTCCGGGGGCAGGAAGGCGAGCTT